TACTCATTCTCCGCTGTACTGGTTTGTGTTCTTCCTTTGACTTATGTCCATCTTTCTAAATAATCTTTGTACTCTATGTCGATTTATCACTTGTAGTCGTTATCTATTGCCTTTCTGTTAAAAGGGATTCAGATCTCTCATAATCACTTCTATCTCTAGGTCCTGTCAAGGTGGAGTATGATAATTGCCAGTTGAATCTGAGCATCCGTGTTATGTCTGTAAATATCACTCACAGCTGAGAAGAGAGATGTCTAGTGAACTGTGTGCTTCCTCTTTGGTATGCCTGGTTTTTAGGAGTTTTCCTCGTCTCTCTGTCAGCTTCTTAATTCAATTTTTTATGTGGTGAAACTCACCAGAAAACCTATCATTTTCAGTATTTTTCTGGAGCTGTCTGAAGCCGGATCCCCTTGGGTCTATGTGCTCCCCATTCTTGTCCTGGAGTTTCTCCTCATTAACCATTTAAAATTGCACCTTCTCTCTGGGCACTCCTGAGTCCCCATTTACCTGATTTTCCTTCTCCCCCGCAGCATTTTTTACCTTCTAACATCTCATAAGATTTGCTTATCCATTATGCTTACTGTCCCGCCTGCTCCCAACCACAAGCCTGTGGTGCTGCAGTTCCATGAGGGCAGAGATTTTTGTGTTTTGTCACAAAGGAATCGCCAATGTCTAGCACAGTTCCTGGCACGTTGGGAAGGTTCGATATATATTTGTGGAATGGACAAGTCCTGATACTTCCCTTCATTGCCATCCTGCTTGTTCTGTTTCTTCCCGTTTCCTGGATCTCATGCCTCCTCTCTTGGTTTACTCCCTCATTTGGTGGAGAACAGCCTTCAGGAACTTTCTGAGAAAAAGTGCTTGTGAGTCTATATATTTTTAGACTCTATAGCTATGTGTATATTTACATTCACATTTAGTGTACAGTCTGGCAGATTTCTTCACATGTAAGATGGTAATAAATAGTGAGTATCCTATAGGGTTGTGATGAGAGGTAAGATAAGTCATACAAAGTGGTTAGCCTTCCCTGAGGATTACAATAAATAGATAAAGATTGTTGGGAGGGAGTTGAGTCTAGAGGCCAAGAGCAGGGCTTTGCGTTTCTGTGTTCTGGGACCCAGTAACTCTGTGACCAAGGGTGGGCAAGTCCCCGAAGCCTCAGTCTCCTCATGCAAATAATGGAAATGGTCATAGCACCTACTCTTTATAGATAGTAGGGGTTATGATGTAGGTTAATGTTCCCAAAGTTCCAAATGTTGGATGTGGCTTGGTGTGGTGGCAAGAGCCAGCATCTACCTTGAGCTTGTCTTTGTGTTTACTGAGAGTGAGAGTGTCTGGAGAAAGGTCGGCAATAGGTGATTGGCAGCATGTAACTCAGCATGGAAGTCCTGAGAGGGACACTTGCACTTGGACCGAGTAGTTTCACCTGTGAAGAATTTATCCTAAGGATATGCCTGGATTTAAGTGCAGGGACTTCTGGGGAAGAATTCCAGAAACTACATCAGTGTCAGTTAAGAGAATGCTTGACCAATACTTGGATATATAAGCTATAGGCTTCCTCCAGTGGAGTCCTCTGAGGCCCTTACAACTGAGGATGACCGCAATCAGATGTCAGGAGAGCTGTACAGCTTACAGGACGATACAGTGTTAAGTGAACAAAGAGTATCTAAGCAGCGTGAGCCATTCTGGGGGACAGGTTACACCTGCCTTTTTATTGTTTTTTAAAGTAAGTAAATGTGCAGAGGACTGGAAGGCCAGACGCTCAAACAGAGGCTCTATAGCCTAATGGTCCAAGAATAGCCTCTGGCATGTGGATACAGAGAAGCTGGTTCTGCCACTATGGCACTTAGGGCAAGTTACAGAACTGCACCAGGTCTCAACTTCCTCATCTCAATAGTTGGGCAATAGCTGAGAAGTTCGTTTAGAGTAAATGAGATTAGGCACGAAAATTTCTTAGAGTAAGTGCTGAGTAAATGTGAGGGAATCTCTGCTATCTAATAATTAATTGTGGCCAGTGAGTAACGAATGGTTCATTTATTTTATTGTTACGTCTTTATTGTCTAAATTATTATTTAAAAAATAAGTTGGTATTTCTTTTGAAAATGGAAAAAAGATTATTTAAAAATATGCAAAACTTCAAGTAACAAAGATGATTCTAGTTTTATCTAAAGAATATCATTATAGAACAATAATGGGAATGTACTTAATGCCACTGAACTGTACACTAAAATGGATAAGTTGGTAAATCTTATGTGTTTTCCCACAACTAAGAAAAACCTCTACTAACATCATCATCATCGACAACTACCAAAAAAATTGAACATCGTCATCATCATCATCAAGTACAAAACGAAAATTATAAGCAAAGGAAGATTCTGAAGGTGTCCCTGGGACTATTAGTCTGGATCAGATAAGATTTTCTGCCTCATGAATATGACTTGATAGCCTAAATTTCTTACCGTGAACACTACTTAGGTTTGTAACTTGTAAAATTTGGTCTCTCGGTGTTCACGTAGAGCACGGCTTCGGAGTCCAAGCAGCGGGTTAGGGCCCAGCCCCGCCTCAGCTTCAGGTGTGACCTTGGCCGGCCTGGCCACTGCTAGCCTCAGTTTCCCCGTCTGGGACCTTCGCGTGACAGCTCGCCCCAATCCCGCCCTGCGACCCTAGGATTGGCTCGAGTCAAGTCCCCCCGCCCCGAGGCGGGACCGGGCGGCTCCCGCCTGCCGGGCCCCAACCCGGAAATGCGGATCGGGGGCGCCGGCGGGGCAGAGGAGGACCGCGGCGGAGCGACGGAGGGATCTGTCAATGGGCGCGGGCGGAGGCGGCAGTGTGGCGGAAGTCCCGCCCAGCACCGCGCGGGGGCGGGGCGCCGCCGGGGCCTGAGAACAGCGGGGCGGGCGCAGGGTGAGGGCGGCCATTGCTGGGGCTCAGCCTCGGGGAGGAGGACGTTGAGGAGGCGCGGAACCGCGCGGCGCTGCGGGATAGGCGCCCGACCGACGCGGGGCTCATGGCCAGAACCACCAGCCAGCTGGTGAGTACGAGGCGGCCTCC